TGTTGCTTTGAGAAAATCTGCTGTCATGGGCCTCTCCAAAGTGCTTTGGTCTTTTAAAAAGACCAAGGTGAAAAAGGCTTTTGATCCAAGCCATGGTTTTGCATCTGAAAGATAGCTAAGGCTAAGGATAATAGAGGAAGAATCAAATGGATACCTTTGAGTTGTGGTGTTGGAGAATAGTGCTGAATACACTATGGACTGTTAAAAGAACGAGTCTGTGTTGGAGGACATGCAACCAGAGTGTTCTTTGAGGCGAGGATGGTGAAACTTCACCTCACATACTTTGGGCATGTTTTCAGGAGGGGCCAGTCCTGGAAAAAGACCTCTTGCTCGGAAAGCTTAAGGATCAGTGAAAGAGAGGAAGACCCTCAACAAGACTGAGTGACAGAGTGACTGTAACAATAGGCTTAAGTAGGACAGGGCAAGGTGTAGATCTGTAGCTCATAGGGCCACAGTGAGACATAGGCAACTTGATGCCACCAAACAGCAAAAACAAGTCAGTGGATTAAATGAAGATTTGATACAAGCCAATCATAAAAGGACAAAGATTGCATGACTTCACACATAAAAATACAGGGAAAGGCAAATATATAGAAACCAAAATGTATTAGTGGTTTTCAGGGACAGGAAGGAGGAGGAAAAGGAAGGTTAGCAATGATGGAGGAACCTGCATTAAGGGTAAGCTTGCACAGTTATTATAACTCTTCCCAATAAGCTGTACACCGGTAAAAGTTGTGTGATAGATACATTTGCAGTGACCCTGTTACTGTTAGATGCCATGTAACACTGTGAACAGATCTGAGCCCTACCCTATCCTTGGCCGTCTTCACTTTCGCTGCCATGCTGAAGTCCATTGTTATTAATCTCTATGTCAGTCAATCTCACTGATAGAAGGTCATCCTCTCTTTCACTGGCCCTCTCTACCTTTCCCAGTAGGATTTCTTTTTCCAATGACACTCCCGCACCCCCTCCCCCCCAAAAAAAAATAGTAACCAAACAAGGTTATATACAAACCAAACAAGGATTTGATTCCTTGTTGGGAAGTTTAGATTTACAGTTTCATGGGCCATCTCAGAGAACTAGCTACTAACATATTTAGTGTTTCTGTTTTACCTTCTAACCCATTGAGTAGCACTAGGATCTTAAAATTTGCAAGTGGTCCATTCAAGGTATAATAATTGGTCTCTCTGCAGCTGGGCCCACAGGAAGGAGAGTCAGAAACAGGACAGGGAATGTGAGGGGAAATGGCTTCATGAAAAGCTGGTTTCTTTAGTGTGAGACTCATTAACAGAACCCAGCTATCATCACTAAACATTTTGCTCAAAGACATCATAGAAGAATTTTGATCAAAAGGAGCAAATACAGAATTTCAAATGTTCATAGACGCTAGGCCTTCTGGAATCATGGAGTGTAGATGACACTCTGAAACTGTTATTTTGCTCATCTTTCTCCTTGGAGTCAGAGTTCTCTAATTTTATAGAGAGATTCTATCAGTTATTAGATATAATAGAACATAGAAAGTTGGATGAATATGAGATTAAAAGTTAATAACACTTCCTTATACCAACAACAGATATTGGGAAACATAATTATTAAAATATATCATTTATTTGAGCAACAGACTATAAACGTAACTAGAAATAAACATAACAAAATGGAGATTTCAGTATAAGCTGGTAAGCTCTGAAGACAGCAACACAGCTCCTGGTCAACTGAAACACTAGGAAACAAAGATAACAGAAATGGATGAGGATCCTGGAGCCCTGAGTTTCAAATATAAGAAGTCATCCAAGCACCAACTAAAGGAAAAAATCTGAAAACACTGAATAAGGAGAAAACACAGTGAATTATAAAGGCCATTTTTACCTTTCCCAGGAGGCTTTATGATCAGTGCAGGAAACCAGGAACTGCAGAGTGTCCACACTAGCTGATGACAAGAAAGATGTGACCTCCCCCTTGATCCTCTAGCCTCCAGAAGATGAAAGGAATGGCTTTGCTCACTCCTAATCACTACCCAGAATATGACCGGCAATGTTCCCTTGGGCCCATCCCAGCTCCCTGTGAGGACAGCGTTGCACCATTTTGTATCTGGCATCATGTGGGGTCCTGACTTTTGACTGGCACTCTTGTTGATTCCATGCCCAGCACAGATCATGTCCACATTAGGAGCACTGTACTGTCCCTCGAGGGTGTCATCCTCAGGGTTGGCAGTGACTATCTCTTCATACCAGCAGAACGTGCTGCCTCTGACTGGGTACTTAGGCTGCACCCATCCCTTGCACTGGACAAGGTACCACCCTTTGCCAGACAGACTTAAGTCAGGTATCTCTGAGGCCAACAGACACTCTGTCTCAGGTTGAGTGCCTCACCTCTTGGTGTCCCCTAGACTGGAATGTTGCTGGCCAGCACTCATCGTGAGCCTCAACCCCCTCTCACATGAACAGAAACTCTGCCCTGACTGGGAACCCCAACTGAATCTTCAGCACACACACTATCCCAAACCAGTCATCTTGCAGAAGCATTTGACTGTGTGGATTAACAACAAATTATGGCTAACATTAAGAAGAATGGGGATCTCAGAATACTTAATTATGCTCGTATGAAACCTAGACCTAGACCAAGAGGCTGTTGACCAAACAGAGCAAGGTAATGCTGCATGGTTTAAAGTCAAGAAAGTTAGTTGCACATCAGGGTTGTATCCTTTCTCCAAACCTATTCAATCTGTATACAGAACAAATCATATGAGGAGCCAGAGTATGAAAAGGAATGTGGCATCAGGATCGAATGAAGACTCCTTAGCCTCATGCAGATGACACAATCTGTAGTTAGTGTACAGGATATATAGATATATAGAATTCAATGAGTTAAGATTTCTGCATATGTACTTTTGTGCTCTCCTGAAGCCTCTCTGAAACTACAGTAAAAGGATATTTAAGATATAAGCCCACGAGGATGGAGAGAAAGGAGAGGGGGGAGGCAACAAAATTTTGGAAGACAAGTGGAAACTGACTTAGCACATCTAAGAAATCTCAATGCAAATTTATTAAGTGGGAACCCAAGACATAAAACAAAACTGCAGAATTTTCAAAACGTTCCAAATTGGCAGTGCTAAATTTCTCTAAAGTTGGAGATGGAGCAGGACCAAAGCAAAAAGAAATAGTTTAAATCTGTCTAAAAATCATATCAACCTACTAAGGCCTTGGAGTTTATGCCATTGGTTGACTGTCCTCATCCACAAGTATCAGAAGGCTTACTTTTTGGAGAGAACTGTAGGACAGAGAAACCTAGGCCTAGTTTAAGACAGGGGATGATGATAATAAAAAAATCAGATGGTCCTTCACCCACTGAATTAAAAAAACCCCACAGTATCATCTTGTCCATTAGATTCTCACTAGCAACTAAGCCATTACTATCAAGCCAGAGACTGCAGATGAACTCTTCTGAAGAACATGATCAGCACAAGAAGAAAAACCAACAGATACTGTCATCAGGGTCTATAAAAGATGGTCCAGCCAGACCACCCTGTAGTGAGGCTCATGGTTAATAAAGAACACCTATCACTCAAAGCCTCTAAAACCCTTCTCTGTCTTCTTAAACATGAGCAGATAATGAAAGGTTACACTTAGGTAAGGAAAGGCTTTATCAGAAAATTCTGTCAGCTCTTCTGAATGACTATTTTTATACTTCTAAGTGTGATGTATATTAGTTAGTGACAATGTTTACGAGTGTGTGTGGATGGACATCAGTATGTATAAGTGTGCTGGGCACACAGATAGGTGTGCATACCTGGACCTATGTGTTTGTGTGTGAAAAGCTTATAGGAGTGCCACATTATGAGGGGGTGGGCCCACACCATGAGGGCATCAACCCTGAACCCACATTCCCCCACATTCTGCTCCACTTTCACCTGTATTGGAGCGTGATTGTTCAGATCTACCCACTGAAGAGAACTTCAGCTGGAAAGATAACCCAAGAAGTCCCTGCTGGGGACTATTCAGGTGAGTGGAAGTGCTGGGAGCAGCAAGGCCTCGTCCCTGGCTAAGAAAAACCTCTGCTCCTTAGATCATGAGAAAATGTGGGTTATAACATACCAGCCCTGCACTGGTATCAGCCTATTATGAGGAAGTCCTTTATGTTGGGTGCCTCACCCTGTGACCCCGCTACCTGCTCACATCAGCTGCCTGTAGAGACCCACAACTTGGTATTCGACCCTTAGGTGAAGAATGTGGGAGGTTTTGATTTGGGCTTCCACATATTTAGCCAAGAAAAGGCTTTTGGGATGAGATTATGTGAATCTCAAGAAGTGGAGAAACAGGGGAGGGAAAGAAGGGAAAATGTGCATCAGTGAATGAATTAAAAAAAAAGCAGAGGAGGTCAAGGACCTGGATTGAGATGATGGTCAAGATAGAGGAGGTCGAGGACCTGGATTGAGATGATGGTCAAGATAGGATGATGACTAGGGCGAAGTGAAGTTCAGAGTCAAGGGTAACTATTAGAGACACAGTAGAATGAAAGTCATGTTGGAGTCAGGGAAATAAATTTTAAAGTAGGTGCCTCTCTAGATTCACCCTTTTAACTCCTTCAAGAGACCTGCCTAAAAGACCTACTAAGGCAGACAGTCCCCAAGGCAGCCAACCTCTCCTGAGGTTCCAGATTGTTAGGGGAGACCAGGAGCTGCTCAGGAATGCACAATCTAGAAATAGGACAGGAAGATCCAGCTCTGCCTGCTACCAGAAAGCTCCCATTCAAGAACAGGACAGAAATTAGAAAGACAAAAGCCCACTTTGACCCAGGGAAAGTGCCTGGCTCCGAGGCCTAGGCTTTGACGGAAAGGAGGAAAGAGTGATTGATTATGCAGTAGAGGACTAAAGCTGGCATATACTCTTCCTGGCACAGAAAAATAGGAGAGAAGAGATCCACCTGGGCTGGCTTTCTCTAGGACTGTACCTGGGTCCAACAAGTGGGTCTTGAGCCACTTGCTACCCTCTCCCCTTACCCAGGGCCTGACTCAAACCATGGAGCGCCACATGGACCCTGATGCCCTGCAGAAGATGATCAGATGTGCTGTGCAGGAATATAGCTGTAAAAACTCTATACCAGGTCACCCTTACTTCCCTGAAAAGTATTGGCTTTCTCAAGAAGAAGGTAGGTCCTCATTCCCTATCTAACCCTGACCCCCACAAGGACCCCAATAATAACCTTCCACTTGGATCATGACACGCCCCCTCCTCTGATAGTACCTTAAACTTAAACCCCCCATGACCTGAGCTTCTTTCCTGACCAACCCCACTCCAAGCTGATTCCCAACCACCTGATCTGACCTCAACCCTAGAGGAGGTCCAGACCTTAACTTCTGGAAGCTTTGTGTCAGTGCAGCAAGGCTAGGGGAAGCCTAGATCTTATCCTTAGAGATGGAGAGAGAATCAACCTCCTTCCAACAAGTAATGTCAACATCCCTCTAAAAATATTCCAGATTCCAGCCCTTCCTATCTTGTTGGCTCCCCTGTTTCATCTTCCCATCCAATCAGGAACCCCCTCTGCCTCACCATAACCTCTTCTTCCTGACCTTAGAAACTTTTCTAATCTTTTCTTGTCTAAAAATGTTCCTCTCATCATAGCCAATATTCTCAGAAGCATAGTCTATACTTAAATATCTCCTTTGGTTAGATGTTTATGGTTTGTTTCCTGCACATACCATAAAGCAGGAAGTCTTGTTCTATTCACACCCTCCACCTAGAACAGTGTCTGGCTTCCCTACAACAGTGTTTGGCTTCATAAATGTTTACTGAGTGAAATGATGAAGAACTGAAATTGGGAATCTATACTGCCTACCTTCAAACACTAGAATTATTCTTGTATAATTTTAACTGCCAAATTCATCTTTACCATTAGAGACCTATCCCATGCATTTTACTCCATGATCACTCTCTACTTCTTGAAACTCTTCCCTTCCTCAGCATCCCTGATTTTTCCTTATTTGCTTGGGCCTCTTGTCCACATTTGGGAAATGTGAGGCTTCTCAGGCTGCTGTACTGGACTGTCTTCTTACTTCACTCCAACTTTGAAGCTGTTTTATCTAACCCATGGTTTTAAGTATTGACAGCTCTAAGTCTTTATCTTAATCCTTGGTCCTTACCAGAATCCTATTCTTCTTCACTTGACACTGGTCACCTTTACCTGGATGTCCCCAAACATCTTACAGTCTAAGTCTCAATATCACATACCTACACACACACACATATTCCTCTATGATTTCCAGTTTTCCTTTTGTAATATCCCTTACATCTGTTCTTACAGACTCAGGGAGAAGATTAGTAAGGCATGGTAGGCTTAGGTGACTTGGTTAGATTATTTTGTAAAGAAATACCACAGCTTTTATTGACTTCTGCACGTTAGGCATGCGGGCCAGTAGGCTAATAATAACTTTCCATATGTCAGTCACTATTCTAAGTGTTTTATGTATATTAACTGAAACCTCACAACAACTCTTTGGATGAGAAGTTGAGGAAACTTAGACACAGCAAAATTCATCAACTTGACCAAGGTCCCAGTCCCACACAGCCAATAACTAGCAACTCTGATGTCTGAACCCAGGAAGTCTGTTTGCAGAGTATAACCACATTATACTCCTAGTTAAGGCACTACAGAGACACAAGGGTGGGCTGATGGTGGACTGGAGAAAAGGGGATAGATTCAAATGATTTTAGGAAAGCAGAATAGGCAAACTTTGGTACCTGGGTGTAGGAGATGAGGGAAAGGGAGGAACTAGGAAGAGGTCCCTTTTCAAATTTAGTTGATTCAGAGAAGTTAATACCAAGATGAAAAGTGATTCGCTCAGAGCAACCAGAGTCCACTCCAAAGCTTGCCTTGGGGAGAAATAGGCAATATCTCAGCTTTTAGGACTAGTTTGGAGCCAAGCTGGGAGTAGGGACTGGCCAGAGGGACAGCTTTGTGCTGGGGACTAGAGGAGAAACAGCTGAGTGGGGAGTGAAAGGTGTATCCGATCCTGGGATAAGGAATAACACTGGGATAAGGAATAACATTGACACCTTATGATCCAGCAGAGAGATGCTGCCCAAACTATCTGTATGGCAATCAATGTGTCACGTGGAGGACAGGACCTTGCAACAGCATCTGCTGGAACAAGTACACCACCTGCCTGCCACCACTGTCCAAGGTAGATACTTTGGGCCAATACAGACACTTGGGGCCGGAGATGCATCTCTCTTCCCCATCCCAGGCACAGGGGCTGATAACTATCAGTAATTTCCCATTCCTTTCCTATCAACAATGCTCCAGGATGGTTCCTGAGACCCCAACCTTTTTAGGTACCTTGAATGCCAACTTGTTAAGATGGGTCCCCTAAGTTCTAATCTCAGATCAGCCTGTGTGAGGAAATTGTTGGCATGCACTCCAAAGTGCTATTTTTTGGAAGTTTGTCAACTGCTCCCTACTCCTGTGAGGTGGTCCCTATGACACTGGGGTGGTCTGGTGATAAGTGGAACATGTCTGTTCTACCCTCCTCTCTTTTGTGATGTGAGCAGAGAAAACAGGAAGAGCAAGGTCACTCAGAGAAAGCACCCCCCCCCCAAAAAAAAAAGTCATTCCAATTTAGGAGGCTGTAAATATCCACCTGAGGCGATTGTCTTGTTTTCCTGGCCCCCCTCAGCTTATAGGTTCAACAGCCAAACATCTAAAGCTCTAACCAGCAGTCCTCCTTAGGGGCAATACAAATACAGGAAATGCTTCTAAGGAGGCAGGTGGCCCGTCTGGCCGCAGGCCCGAGGAAGAGAAGAGATGTGTGAGGATACAAGATCAGAGCAGTGCTTCCTAAACTTAATCTAATGTTGACCTCGGGCTGATCAGAACTTTCTCAAAAATCGGAGCTTTTCACAAGTTCCTCGGGTGGTTTTGACAGCAATATTGAAAAATCTCTTATTAAGAGAGACCCAGCTAGATGTCAAAGCTAGACACAGCTAGGCAAAAAAAACCTGAGCGGGCCAAAATCGATGATCATCTTGTAAGGCAGGATGGTCAGAGGCCCCCTGGCCTAGCCTTGTCCACCCACGCCAGCTCCCCCGGGAGGCGGAGCAAACGCGTTGCCTGGGAGACAAGTCCAAACACTCGAAGTGGAGCCACGGGAGGCCGCTATCTGGGTTGGGGGGCCTGAGAGGTCTGCTCCAAGATAGGCGCTCTTCTCCGCCAGAGACTGAGGGAGCCCTTGTGCCATTTCCAGGAGACCGGGATGGAGATGGTAGTTCGACAGCCCTTGGAGTGCCCTCCTAAACCAGAGCGCCTCAATGCCTACGGTAACCAGAGTGCAGTGGTGAAGGGACACGGGCAGGGTGAACGCTGGGAACAGGACGAGAGCCGATGGCCTAGGAAGGGAGCCTTAAATATGGCCTCCCTTTTTCATTTTTTGCTCCACCTCTCCCTGTCTCTGACCCTGGACCTTCCCTTCTCTGTGTGTCGCTGTCTTTGGGTCTTCATGGTTCGGACTCAGAGCGCGAGGTCGTGGCGAACATGCTGAATTCACTGTCCCGGAGGCAGCCACTGCCACAGATCACCCCCCGATGTGCGTGCATGGACCCGCTGCCGGGCCGCCTGCCCTGCCAGGGTTACGAAAGCCCTTGCTCGGGTCGCCACTACTGTCTGCGAGGGATGAACTACTGCGTCGCAGGACCAACCTGCCTTCAACGCCGCCTGAGGCCTGTGTGCTGCACTCAGCCGACTGTAAGGTTCGCAGGGCTTGGCCAGTTTCAGCCGGGCCCCGCCCCAACAGACCCCGCCCCCGAAGCACCACGCCCTCTTAGGGCCCGCCCCATCATGCCCCACCCCAAGTTGTCCTGCCCCCTGTCGGCCACGCCCCCTAAAGACTTTCCCCTTGTATTCCCGACCCCCAAGCTGCTCTGCCTCCTGTGGGCTCCATTCCGGAGTTGTCCCGCCCCCTGTGGGCCCCGGCCCCAGGCGTCCCCTCCGCGTAGGCCCCGCCCCCTAAATATCCCGCCTTCTTAGGTCCTGTCCCAACGTGTCCCGCCCCCTGTATGCCCCACCCCCAGGTTGCCCTGCTTCCTGTGGGCCCCGCCCCAAAGTGCCCCGCCCCCTGGTGGATCCCACCTCCAAGGTGTCCCACCCCCTATGCGCTCCGCCCCCTCCTTTATAATCCACTGCTAGGTTGCGTTTCTAGACTTTTCTGAAAGCACTAAAGAAATGAGGTGGGTGGAGAAGCAGTACTAAGGTTCCCTCAGTCCCAAACCCGGTCCCTTCTGAAAGGGCTCATGATCAACCTGTTCTGGGAGATCCTGCCAAGGGTTTTAGAGGAAGAAACCTAGAAAGCTAAGACATCACTTACCTTTTTCACGCCTACCGGGCGGATCCTTACCTCCCTTGGTATCCAACTGTGGGACGCAGATCTTAGCCAAAGAGATGTCATGGAAAAGCATTCTCTTTTTCTAGCTCTCGGGTTTCCTGTCGGTGATAGGCTGGAAGCTAAGGGGACAAGGAAATTACCAGAGGACCCTTGCTCCCCACCGCAGCCCCTCCCCCTCGGGTATAAGGGCTGGAGAAGTAGCCCTCTCCTTGAGGAGACAGGCCAGGATAAGAACACAAAAGTCTGCGGTCAGTCTAGAAAGTTGGCAGAACCGGGTCCTGAAATCCTTTCTGAACTCACCATGGTGATTCCCCTTACACTTCCAAGCCAAGAGACTTTGTTTTGTGTGAATCTGGGTCTTAACCTTAACATGGTGCGTGGGTAGGTAGGCTAAGTGCCTGGGCGGGGCTCAGGAACATCTGTTTCTGCAATGAAAACCATTTCTCTGTTTCATGGAGAAAATGCTGTCCTATATTAGGGAGCTGGGGCTCCTAGATCTTCAAACTATCCGGAGTTTGACCCTCCAACAGCCTGGCCTGGGAGCAGAAGCAGGGCCTTAATAAGGGGAGGGGGGGCTTCCTGGAGGCAGGGCAGGCGCGCAGGCTAAGGGGACCACAGGAAAGCATCCTGGAGCTTTGAGACTGATGCCTGCCTGAAGCGCCCTACAGAAGCATGATCTGTGTTGGGGTTTAGGGAGGACTTACCAAAAGGCCCCACGCAACTCTTTCTCCTTCAGAGCTGTATTTTCCCACCATTACCGTCCCGGACTCCAATGTGCTGTTACAGCTGCCCCACCGCCATACTACCCTTATCCCAACCTTAGGTAAGTCTCGCACACAAGTGCATGTACCAAGACTGCCTGGGCACTGTCAGCGATTTAGCTGGGGTGCGAAAGGGCCACGGTAGTGCACTGACTGGAAGATGCCACGAGGGGGCGCAAGTACCACAAGGAAGTAAAAACCAGTTGAGCTGTAAAAGACTCCCCCCATGACAGGAGTTGGAGTTGAGTAATGGAACTTAAAAGTCAAGAGATAAGGACTAAGGATTCAGGGCTTGAATAGAATTAAGAAGTCAGTGAGCAGGTAACGGGAAGAGCAGGCATTGGGAATCAGAAATGAAGCAGCAGGATCTGAGGTCAGTATTGGAGCCCAGGGTCATTATTAGGGGGCATGATGTTGGGACAAAATCAGCATGGAGATTAAAGTCATGACTCATCTCTCCACACAGATGGGACACAAGTCACTTCAAGAGGACCGGTGGTGCCTTGAAAAACAACTACATTATCCACCCAGAGTTTGTGTCTGAGTCCTATCCTGAATATGGCTGCTGGTAGAGCCCAGGCTGGCCAAGCCAACAGGGCGAAGCAATAAATAAACAAATGCTTTATCCCTAGAAGTTGTCCAGTGTTCTTACTCAGCAGGATCTGACAGTGAAGGTTCTGCCACTCAAGTTTCTGCCAAACTTCAACAGAAATCGAGTTTCTCAGAGTCACCTTGTTCTGAGTCAGCCCCACCCTAATCTCAATATTTCCTTGGTGGCCCTAAAAGACCGTTCTGCCACAAAACAGTAGTCCTACAGTCAGCTGGTATCCTCCATTCCACTCCAGAGCCTAAACATGGAGTCATCTAGCCATTGAAAGGAAGATGATTCCTTTGTTGTTGTTAGGTGTCCTTGAATTGACTATGACTCATAGAGACCCAGTGAACAACAGATCTGAACCTTGCCCTATCTGGGAACATCCCCATTATTTCTGTCATGCTCAGGCCCATTGTTGTAGCTACCATATCAATCCATCTCTTTGAGGATTATATTCTTTTTCATTAACCTTTCCCAGTATGTTTCTCTCTCAGGATGTTTTTTTCCTGAAAATTTGCCTAAAGTGAAATGAAGTTTCATTGTCTTTGCCTCTAAGGAGCACTCTAGCTGCCCTTCCTTCAAGACAGATTTGTTTGGCAGTCAATATCATTCATCAACAATTCAAAGGCCTCTGTTCTTCAGTCTTCATTATTCACTGTCTAACTTTCAATTGCATAGGAAGCAACTGAAAAATACCATTACTTGGATCCGGCTTTAGTCTTAAACTGACATCCTTGCTTTTTAGCACTCTGGAGAGGGTTTTAACAGCAGATTTCCCCTATGCAACACATCTTTTGATTTCTTGACTGCTGCCAAAATGGGTGTTGGTTGTGGATCCAAGTAAAATTAAATCCTTCAAACTTCAGTCTTTTCTCCATCTATCATGATGCTACCTATTGATCCAGTGATAAGGATTTTTGTTTTCTTGATGTTGAAATGTAACCTATTTTTAAGGCTGTAGTCTTTGATCTTCTGCAGTAAGTGCTTCAAGTCCTCCTCACTTTCTGAAAGCAAAATTGTGTCATCGGCATAACACAAGCGTTTGGTGAGTCTTCCTCTAATACTGCTGCCACATTCTTCTTCCTGTAGTCCAGTTTCTCAAATGATTTGTTCAACATACAGATTGAATAGGTATGAAAAAAGAATACAAACTAGATACACATCTTTCCTGATTTTAAACCACACGGTATTCCCTTGTTCTGTGCAGACAACTGCTTCTTAGTCTATGTGTAGGTTTCACATGAATACAATATACACACTTTGTTATGATCTACAGAGAGTATACTTTGTTAAGATTTACACAGTCAGGGGAGCTCTGGTGGCCTAGTGGAAAGAAGCTGTACTGCAATCCCAAAGGTACATGGTTCGAATCCACCAGATGCTCTGCCGGAGAAGGAGGGACAATTTCCTCCTGTACTAGTCAGAACTGATTTGACAGTACATACACAAAAAATAAAATAAAAATTTATAAAAGATTTACACAGTCAAATCCCTTTGCATAATCAATAAAACACAAACATTTCTGGCTAGTCCATCTACATTATGTTTATGCAAATAATGCATGCATTGATTTTGCAACCCCATCACTCCCTTGAAGGTTAGTTTCCTAGTCACACTACTATATTCAAGCTGTATGTGCTGTAAGTGAAGAATATGATACTCCCACTCCATGAGGCCCTCCCTGACAGCTCCCCTCTAGGCCCCCAAATTTGTCTCTTGCATCTCAATGGACCCAGAATCCTCCATTCCAGAGTCAGTTCTGTCCCTACACTTAAAGCCCTGTTCTCACAATCTAATCACAGGTACCCAAAATTCTTTGCTGAAACATCTTTACTCTCTGTACCCAAGTTCAAGGTGTCCAAAACATAATTGGAGGGTCTCAAGAACAAGTTTAAGATGCATTAAAAACTCTTCTTCTCTGTCCCAGGGAAAAAGAGGTGGGGTGTTCTGGAATCTTTGGGATTTCCTTTCTGTCAAAGTATGAAACCTCAGTGTTGCACTCCCTTCACCTCTCTGTGAGGGGTCATTTTCTAAATAAAAGCTGCTGCCCTATAAGTAACCAGGTTGGGGGGAGTTGAGGTGGGGGTGGAGAGAATACCAAGTGGAAATTAGTCTTCCCACTATCATACATTGGATAATGCTGATCTATTCCGGTAGGAATCCAGGCCCCCTCTCTGGCACCCTTTTTGGGCTACCCCTGCATTACACTCAGATCCTACCCACGTTTCGCTACCTTTTTCCACCACAGGGGAAAACTGAGAACTTTGTCAGAGAAACCAAGCTGGTTTTCCACTGGAGTGAAGGAGTACAGAGGGCTGACGCTGCCACTTTACACTTTGACTCTCTCCCTCTCAAACACATCCCAAACCAGCAGGAAAGTGCAAGAACTCCAATGAGCAACCGTGCGCCTCCGTCCAGAATTACATTTCTTAGGTCGCCAGGGGCCGAGCCCCGCCCGCCTGCGGGTAGATGTCGGCCCTGCGGAGGCGGGCCCGCAGGCCCGCTGGAGGGAGGACTCGGACAGCCTGGAGCTGGGCGCCCAGCAGCGCGTAGAAGGTGGGGCGCAGGGGCGGGGCCTGAAGCCCGCGTGACAAGGCGGGAGGCGGAGCCGGGCCCCGGGGGCGGGGCTGGCCTCTGTGGCCCGGGGCCGAGACTGGACGGCTTGGGCGGGGCGGAGCCGCGGAGGCAGGCCGGAGGAGAACGCTCGGTGTCCCCCGGCAGGGCACCACGCCACCCCACTTCAACTTCTGGTTAGCGTGCAGGCAATCTGCAGGAGCCTCCAACCCCACTTCTGTGGCTCCATCACTGCCTTGGGTGAGCCCAGTAGGAGATCCTTGGGGCGCTGCTAAAGGTGAATTAATTTCCGGACTGTTTTTTTCTACAGATGAGTGGGTGAGGCCAGAGGCATATCTAAGATAGGGCAGGTAAGGCTTGCTCTAGGGTGTCTCTTGAAGGGGAGGGTGCCACTGAGCAGGTTCTATTAACCCTTTATGGCCCTATATCTTTACTCAGGCATGTCAGACATCCGGAAGCACAGGAGGCCGGGTGGGGGGTGGGGAGAGGCCGGTGAGGACAGTATGTATTTGCACCCCGTAGTCCAAGGAAGTGTAGTGTTGGTGAGGCTCAGATGTTTGAATGACATTCCCAAGGGCCAAAATATTAAATGCGTCGGAGTGAGGCTGCGAGGCAAGAAGGAAAAAGTTTCTCTTAACATGTTCCCACTCTCAAGGTCTTGCAATTGGGAAGAAATTGCAATTTAGAGATTGCCCAGGTGCACCTTACCCTCGCTGCCCCGCCCCCCCAGGTGGGACGAACTCAGACGCCTGGGTTTTTATTTGGGCTGCAGCTTCTTACAGGCAGCAGGCCCACTTGACCTCAGTTGCCCTCTTTGGACAGTAGCTACCAAGCGAGGCGATGGGGGTGGGTGCAGAGTATTCCAAGCTGGAGGAGCTGTCACTGGATCCTTGCCGATCCTGTCATTAGTGGGGAGGAGGGGGATGGGCCAGATCTAGTTCCCTTTGACATTTCCACCCCCCTGGGATCTGTGTAGACTCAGCTTAGGGGCTGGCAGCCAAGGCTGAGATCTGGTGTCCAGGAGAGAGAGGCTCTAAGCAGGGTCAGATCCCACCTGCTGACATTAGCCCCACCTGCTGATATTGGCCTGGGTCTCTAGAGTCATAGTTAACACGGGAACCACAGTTTTTTCCCAACTTGCCTCTTCCACAAATTCCTTGCCCACAGCTTTGGTACCAGAAGCCATTAAAATGGCCCCATTGCTTTCCTGAAGAAGCTTTCCTGGGCTACCAGGAGCAAGCAGCAGCACCATGCCCTAGGGAAGGCAGGCCTCACACATATCTGCCTTGAAAACCTGTCCCACCATCCGTGACCACACAGCCCCTTTGCTCTCAAGCACTTTGCAGCAAGTTCAGCCCATAGTCCCTCAACTCTTCCAATTTATGCTGGGTGGGATGGGCTTTGGATTCAAACAGCCTTGCTACCTGCTATCTTCAGACAAGTCTCTTTTCCTATTTAGGCAACTGTTTTCTTCTGTTAAATGGGCACCACGGCTATACCTGACACTCAGCACTATTAAGGTTGGATGCTATGATGGCATTTGAATGCCTCTGTGGACTGGGTACCCAGACCTGAGACCTCTCTTCACCAAAGAACTTTAAAATCTTAGAAAAGTCAGGTTCTTAAAACCCAAGTATTGGAGAGAGCCTTCAAGGTCGCTTTGGTGGCCTCTTTGTACTTGAGAGGCCATGAGATGAGCTGGCTTTAATATGAAAGTTTTGAAGACCTTCTCCCTTATTCTTTTCATACACAGAATGGGGCATTGCTTTTCTTGAATGAATGAATATAAAAGCACAGCACGTCTGGCCTGGGCTGCCTGTGGGTCGTCTTTGAGTTCTGCTCAGCTTGAGAACATCAGCTAAAGGCCATGCGTGGCCTGCATTTTCCAGCAGAGCTCTTCCAGCCTGTACCTACAGGAAGGCAAGTTCATAGTGGGACAGGAGAAGAAAGGTCAATTGTGTATGCAGAAATCAGAGAGGAAGGGCAGTAAGAGGTTGTTTCAGTCCATTTAGGGCCAATCAACTAAAGGGGGTGGGGGCAGGAAGCACCTGAAGCCCTGCAATGGAACCTCCTTAGAGGAGAGCATTGTGAGGGGCTGTGTACTCGTATGTGGGATCAAAGTTCTCCTCTACATGCTTGGTACTCATTAGTCTCTGCCCTGGGAGGTGAGGGCCCTTAGTAGTTCTAGCATTTCCTTGGAAGGAGCTGGGGACTCAGACACTGGCATCTGGGAGGAGACTAATTACTGTTTGTAGTCCTTTCTCCTTTCCCCTAGCTGGAGCAGTGCTAGCAGGCAGGCTGGCTGGCTGTATGTTTGTCTGCCTAGTGCTGTTTCTTTGTTGGACTCTGCCCTAAGGGCTGGCACAGGAAGGGTTAGGGGCCTTGAGCAATAGATTGGGGCACAACAACATCTTTCAATCCCATTTCTTTGCAGCCATAGCTAGACATTTAGTGTAATGTTTGTAAGCATATGGGTGTGTGGTGGTTGGTCTCTGATTGCTAGAAAGCTAATAGTTGAGGTGGGTGAAGGTGAAAGACATCTTTGGAGCAGAATTTATGTCGGGGGAAGAATGATATTGGTAGTCATAGGACAGGCCTGGCTGGAAAGGAAGTGAAAAAGGCACTTGAGACCACATCATACCCTGGGCTTCTGCAAGACTTATGCTTCAGGACTTCATCTTGGGAGACATGAGTGCTCTCTGAGCTAGGGAGAGATGGGATCTGATAAGTGCTTTATAACGATCACGTGGTTGCTGTGAGCAAGAGGCACTGAAAGGGATGGAATTGGGGGCAGGGAGGCCTACTCTGGGAAGTGTTGCAATAATATAGGGGAGAGATGGTGATGCCCAGACTAGAGCCAAGGCACCACGACAGTCACTGGGTGCATGGTGAAGACTGAGCCACGAGGTGACTGGCTCACCTTCATCACCTACCAGCTCTCCAGGGATCAGAGGTGCAATGCTGGGAGCAGAGGAAATGGACTAGCGGTCAATGGCTGAAAGTAGGTGAAGGAGAAAGACTGTTCTCTTACTAACCAGGCCCTAGGACTCTGCCTAGCTTTGGAGATCTTCTCTATTATCCAGATTTAATGTGGTTTATAATATTGGATCAAATTCCAAGCCTAAGCTATCATTTTTTCCTCCTACCTGTCCTCCTCCAGAGAAGGGGAGGGAGCCTACTGCTTCATTAAAGGTCCCAAAGAGCTAGCTGACCAATCCCCCTTCTTCCACAATGGCCATACCTTGGGGAGACCAGCTCCGCAGCAGTCCCTTCCTCTTCTCTTCAGTCTGAACTATCTCTGTGTGTGACTCCAAACTGCCTTTGGCCTTCTTTGGGTTTGTTTTCCCTAGTAGAGAAAAATGAGACTGTATGCCCCCTCCCCTCTTCCCAGTCACAGAGTTCTAATTTTGACAAGCCTTGGGGCCATAAGCTGAAGAAAATACAGATGGATAACCCTGGTCACTTGCCTCTGATCAAATCCTGAGTTCTTCCCAAAATATGTTGTTATGTGCTGTCAAGTGGGAAGTGACTCATAGCTGACGCTCTAGCAAGTTTTCAGAGGCTGTAAATCGCACAGAAGGAGACTTCTCATGCGGCAGTTGGTGGATTTGAACCACTTGCCTTTGGGTTGGCACTGCAACTCCTTACAATTTAGCCAACCAGAGCTCCTTTCTACAAATATATATCCTATTTTCTTGCTACAGTGAATGGGTTCACTATGGGAGTAAGATTCATCTCTCTCTTCTTCCAGACTCCAGAAGATCAGATTCTGATGGATTTGCTCAGATGGCCCATCCTTCCTTATCTAGGTGCTGATGCCTCACGAGAAGAGCCAAGCCTATCTCCGTCACCGCCCTGTGAGTCTTAAGAGCCCTGAAGCATCAACAGACAGCACTATGTACACCTTCCTGCCAGATAACTTCTCACCTGCCAAGCCCAAGCCGTCCAAAGAGCTGAAACCACTGCTGGGCTCCGCAGTGTTGGCACTGCTGCTGGTGCTGGCTGCGGTTGTCGCCTGGTGCTACTACAGCGCCTCTTTACGCAAAGCAGAACGCCTGCGCACAGAACTGCTGGATCTTAACCGCGGTGGCTTCTCCATTCGCAACCAGAAGGGCGAGCAGGTCTTCCGCCTGGCATTCCGCTCAGGAGCGTTAGACCTCAATTCCTGCAGCCGCGATGGTCACCTGCTCGGCTGCTCGCAAACTGCTGATGGACGCCCGCTGCACTTCTTCATTCAGACAGTTCGGCCCAAGGACACGGTCATGTGCTACCGTGTTCGCTGGGAGGAGGCAACAGAAGGACGTGCAGTTGAGCATGCCATGTTCTTGGGCGACTCTGCAGCACACTGGTACGGTGGCGCAGAGATGAGGACACAACACTGGCCCATCCGCCTGGACGGCCAGCAGGAGCCACAACCTTTTGTCACCAGCGATGTCTACTCCTCTGACGCTGCCTTCGGAGGTATCCTTGAGCGCTACTGGCTGTCATCTCGCGCAGCCGCCATCAAAGTCAACGACTCGGTGCCCTTCCACCTGGGCTGGAACAGCACGGAGCGCTCCCTGAGGCTGCAGGCGCGCTACCACAACACGCCCTACAAGCCGCCTGCAGGCCACGCAGCAGCGCCCGAGCTCAGCTATCGTGTGTGCGTGGGCTCCGACGTCACCTCCATCCACAAGTACATGGTGCGGCGCTACTTCAACAAACCGTCCAGGGTGCCGGCACCCGAGGCCTTCCGGGACCCGATCTGGTCCACGTGGGCGCTGTACGGAAGAGCGGTGGATCAGGACAAGGTGTTGCGGTTCGCCGAGCAGATTCGTCAGCACCGCTTCAATAGCAGCCACCTGGAAATCGACGACATGTACATGCCCGCCTACGGAGACTTTGACTTCGACGAGGTCAAATTCCCCAATGCGAGCGACATGTTCCACCGCCTGCGCGACGCCGGCTTCCGTGTGACGCTGTGGGTGCACCCGTTCGTCAATTACAACTCATCGAGCTTCGGCGAAGGCGTGGAGCGCGAGCTGTTCGTGCGCGAGCCCACCGGCCGGCTGCCCGCGCTGGTGCGCTGGTGGAATGGCATCGGCGCCGTGCTCGACTTCACGCGCCCCGAGGCCCGCGACTGGTTCCAGGGCCACCTGCGGCGGCTGCGCTCGCGCTACGCGGTGGCCTCCTTCAAGTTCGACGCGGGCGAGGTGAGCTACCTACCGCGGGATTTCAGCACCTACAGGCCGCTGGCGGACCCCAGCGTGTGGAGCCGGCGCTACACCGAGATGGCGCTGCCTTTCTTCTCACTGGCCGAGGTCCGCGTGGGCTACCAGTCGCAGAACATCTCGTGCTTCTTCCGCTTGGTGGACCGGGACTCGGTGTGGGGCTACGACCTGGGCCTGCGCTCTCTCATTCCCGCCGTGCTCACCGTCAGCATGCTGGGCTACCCGTTCATCCTGCCCGACATGGTGGGCGGCAACGCGGTGCCGGAGCGCATGGCTGGCGGCGGCGACGTGCCCGAGCGCGAGCTGTACGTGCGCTGGCTCGAGGTGGCCGCCTTCATGCCCGCCATGCAGTTCTCCGTCCCACCCTGGCACTACGACGCCGAGGTGGTGGCCATCGCGCACAAGTTCGCGGCGCTGCGGGCCTCGCTCGTGGCGCCGCTGCTGCTCGAGCTGGCTGGGGAGGTTACCGACACGGGAGACCCTATCGTGCGCCCCCTCTGGTGGATCGCTCCTGGCGACGAAACGGCACACCGCATCGACTCACAGTTCCTTATTGGGGACACCCTGCTCGTGGCGCCGGTGCTGGAACCAGGCAAGCAGGAGCGGGATGTCTATTTGCCTGCTGGCAAGTGGCGCAGCTACAAGGGCGAGCTTTTCGACAAGACCCCTGTGCTTCTCACCGACTATCCTGTTGACCTGGACGAGGTTGCCTACTTTACCTGGGCCTCTTGACCCATCCCAAGCCCCCACATCCTAACCCCAGCCTTTCTCTGGGTCTTTAACCCTCCATCACATCTACACTGTGGACTCTAGACAAAACTCACCTTTGTGCCACCCACCAAGTGGGTGTTAACAGTAAATGTGTTCAAGTCAGGGCCTAGGGACCCTAGGGGAGGGGTCCTGAGTCAAACGCCAACTCAGACACACAATCCTAAGACCCCTCTTCTCTCCTGTTTGTCTGCAGAAACCTTCTTCCTGGAGTAGGGGTGAAGAAGCTCAGAGGGAAAAAAAGGTCCCTTTTCTTCCTGTTACACATAGATGGATTTTAAAAGCACATAGAAAACTCCCTCTGACTGGGTTTGAGGGGCCCTCTTTGTCTTTCTGAGATGGGGGTTTGGTCCCCTTAGTGCTAAATAATCCCGTTTGGTTTTTTTTTAAAGGCATTTAGGGAGTTACAAACTACTCTCAGTGTTGAAAGCCAAACTTGGAATTCCAGCACTAGCCTTTGTCTCTAGTCTGAGCTGTGGCTGGCCTGGCCCCACCCCAATGGGAAGAAGGGACAGAGGTCAATTAAGGAGGAGGCAGGCAGTCCTCTTCCAGGGTGTAGGAGAACTGGCTCTGTACAAACCATCATCTTTCTCTCTGGTGAAGAAATTCCAAACACTATACTGACCTGACCCAGCTTGATAAGCACAGACTTGCAGGCTCTGTACAGGCCAGTATTGGTGCCTTAACTCAAGGAACTTTGTGTGAAAGAGAGAGAGAGGGTGGGGATAATATGTCATTATATCTGTGGAATAAATAGCATCCCTGAGGCTGGATAGGCCTAGAGGAATGAGACATGGAGCAACTCGAGGTGGAGATTCTTTAATTGCCCCCTTCCTGGGCAATGACCCTAGGATGCTGATAGGAAATGAACAGTCCTTTGGGGATTTCTGAGCTGCTTCACACCCTCCCCATGTGGCAGGGATGTGGCCTAACAGGGAAAGATGATCTTATTCTGGTGATGTGGTGCTACAGTACACCAGCCACCGCACACACTGCAAATACACACATGGGGGAAGGTTTTTCATCTCATTTTCTGTGTCTCGGAAGAGCAACTTCCGCCAGAGTATTAGTTTTCCCCAGTTCTGCAGCTGGGTTTAGGAGAGGAATGGTTTGTTAGAGCGAGGAGGTGGGAAATGATGGGGCTTAGTGCCTCCCAACAGTTCTGCCAGCAGAACTGGTACCCCCCACCCCCTGAGAATGTGTCACTTTACCCATCCCTCCAATCTATTTTTTTTCAGCGTGGCAAATGTCAGATAAACTCTTTGAGCACTCACAGGTGGACCACTCATCTTCCGACTGTGTGTGCAAGCTGCTTAACCAGTATGAGCCACGATTTCTTCATCTCTGAAATGGGAATAATAACGCCTACCTCCCAGGTTATAAGGATTATAAGCACAGTTGTATGTCAAGTGCCTAGCACTGGTAGGTGCTTGATAGCTATTATGTTTTTCCTTATATTAAAAGTAGAAGGATTAAAAAAAAAAGTAGAAGGATTCTTCCTGGTCCCAGCTCCCAGCCCAGATACTACATCTGAGCCTATTTGTGACCATTCCCTGGAACCTTTTGATCAGTCTTCCCTGAGCCCTTGAGCTGGGGTATGATATGCAGGAATGAGGAGTTCCCTTCTCCAGAGGTAACAGAGGACTAAGTGACCCCTGTAGGAAACCTAAGAATGGTACCTAAAGCTCCTATACTCTGACCCTGTGCCTCCCAAGAGTCTTCCCTCCATTCCCCTTCTAACCTTCTATGAATGGGCTTAACCCTAGCCAAGTCTTCTCCCTGAGCCTCTGAGAGAGGTTTTCTTGGGAGAGAGCAAAGGCTCCCTCAGAATTGGCTCTGAGTATAGATCAAGCCTTCTTCCACTGGCTCTTCCCCACTCAGCTCTCTGGTCCCTTTGCCCTTCCCCAAATATAAGCCCAGCCTCTCATTCCCTGGCTACTGTCTCACATCAGACCTTTACCATTGTAGCCTGACCTCTTCAACAAGGTCTCCTAACTCTCTCTACTCTTGGATCCTGCAATTTAATCTATATGGCATGGAAGGGGGTGGGGAATCCTTCTGAAATCCAATCATGCCACTTAGGGGGAAAAAATCCAAGCTTTGGCATGATAGCCTGCAAGATCTGGATCCATTTCTCACCTCTGTCCCTGTTTCATTCACATACATGAACATATTTTGAAAAGCACTAGAAGATAACACCACTGTATGTTCTGGGAACAGTTGCACAACCCTTCCCTGATAGAGGAGGCCTGCCCAGGCCCAGCCTAAAGTAGAACACAGTGGAAGCCTGGTGGTTTCACTTCCCACTATTGTTCAGCTCAATGGGGTTCTGTTAGCACCCTACCCTCTCTTGCACATACTTCAGTTCCCTGAAAATAACCTGTTTTCAAAGTGGAGCCATCTACAGTAGCATGCCTGGAGATCTTTGCAGCAGCTTGAGGCGAGGAGAGAATTCTTGGCCTTATGTGACAAATTGAGTATAGCTCTTGGGTGGTGTGTGAGGAGCTGGAAAAAAGAAAGTGGTCCAGGCCCTGGGAGATCCCAGTTTGGAGGATAGGGAGAGGCTGTGTTTCAGTTCTAGATCCTTGGACTGTGCTGCTCTCCCTAGCCCCTTTCCCTACCCCAGGAAGTCCAGTTGAGAACTTCCTGTTATACAATCCCATACAGCATGCAGAGGTGGGGGGCAGGGCAGTAGCAAGGACTGGCACTGTCCTGACCCTCTTCTAGTAAAGAAAGAACAGCTTGCATTAAAAGTTGGGCCACTGGAGAGGGCAGCCTCTGCTCCCCAAACAGAGGTGGAACCTGGTCTACCTGGAGACTTGGTGATTTTTAAAGTCGTGGACAATTGTAAGGCAGCTCTCCTTCCTACATTATGACCACCAATGTTTGTCCTTTGAGTTTTCAATTTTGCAGATGAGAGCCTCCTGTGAGGGTGTAAGGTGTGTCTTTTGGGGGTTAAGAGGGAATTTTGGTCTTCCAGGTACAACATCTGAATGCAGAAGAGAATCTTTTCTTTTCACCCAAATTCACCAATTCCCCAATACTTACTCAGCTACCTTCTTCATCACTCAGCCAGAGCCCACTCTACTGGGATTAGAAGAGGTACTTAATTCCCTACTAATTCATCTCTAAGTCTGGTACATGGCTACTTTATGAACCTTCTAGCCTTTGAGAGCCAGACTCCAGCTAGCTGGCCACAGTTCTTTCTGGCTCAAAGACCAAAGGATGGGAGAAAAGATTGAAATTGTCAGTGAATTTTATTCAGATCCATTATCAGTGCTTATGGAAGTAGAAGTCAGGAACTTAAACATCATGCTACATTGGGCAAATCTGCCACCAAGGACCTCTTTAAAGTGCTAAAGAACAAGGATATTACTTTAAAGATGAAGGTGCATGCACCAGACCCAAGCACTGGTATTTTAAGTTGCTTAATATGCATGTGAAACTGGACAGAGAATAAGAAAGACCCAAGAACTGCTACCTTTGAATTGTAGTGTTGGCAAACAATATTTAATAGACCTAGGACTACCAAAAGAACAAACAAATGTGTGCAGAAGAAATGTAGCTGGAGTGTTTCTTAGAAGAAAGGATGATGAAACTTTGTCCTTATATACTTTGGACCATGTTAACAGGAGGAACCCATCCCTCCTGAAGATACTGTATTTGGAAAAGTAGAGAGTCAAAAGAAGAGATGTAGACCCTCAATGAAATGATTGACAGGGAATGACACAATGCAAGGCTTAAGTACAGCAGATTGTGAGGATGGCACAAGATCAGACAGTATCTTTCTGTTACATGGAGGGTTATTACGAGTCAAAACTGACTGTGAGGGATCCAACACCACCACTTAGGACAGCTGCTTCCTTTTCCCAGTGCCAGAATCAGTCTTTCACTTTTAATCTGCCCAAATTTCACTCTGTTTTACCCCTACATTCCCCAAGTATAGCTAGTCTGGCCCTCATAATGAGCCCTAATCTGACCTTTGGGCAAGTCTATCAGGATGTCATGTGCACAGAAACCAGACTAGGAAGTTAGGGCTCCTGTTCAGGGGCTGGGAAACTTAAGAGTCTACATTTCATTTTGCAGTGATGAGAATCTTCTGTAAATAAACAGTGGTGGTGAAGGCTGCACAACCTGGCAAATATACTAAAAATGAAACTATTCTTTAAAGAGTTGAATTTTGTGATATACTATTTTGTGAATTAACATTTTTAAAAAGCTTCCTAGAAAAAACATAAATCTGGTAATAGCTGTAGTGTTTTTTGGGTCCCTAGGTCACCCTTGATTATTTGGCTTACCACGCAATATAGTCTTTTTTAAATTTTTTTTTTATTATTATTGTGTGTGTGTGTGTGTGTGTGTGTGTGTATACCGTCAAATCAGGTTTGACTGGTACAGGAGGAGATTGTTCCTCCTTCTCCAGCAAAGCATCTGGTCTATTTGAACCGCTCACCTCTCAGATTGCAGTGCAGCTTCTTGCCACTAGGCCACCAGAGCTTGCTCAAGCAATATATTCTATCCATTGTTTACTCTTTTGTCTGGATTTTAATCCAACTGGACAGGAGTAATAGTTATGACCTAAATGTCTTCTCCCAACCAGCTTTCTCCCTTTTTTTGGCCCCTCCTCTCCTACCTCTTGGTTTTTGGAAGCTTACGTACTGTTAAAAAAGAACCTTGCTGCCCTTTTGAACACTTTTTGCTTACACCCAAGATAGGGGGGTTTTGTGTTTTTCTTTAAGAAAGTTATTTTTTCCTTAAAGTTTCCTTTCAAAATACACTTTTTAATTACTTAGAAATGTTTTAAAAGCTGTCATGTATAAAAATATGCTACATCAGGAAGCTATGGTGGCCTAGTAGCAAGAAGCTGCACTGCAATCCCAGAAGTACATGGTTTGAATCCACCAGATGCTCTGCTGGAGAAGGAGGAACAGGCTCCTCCTGTACCAGTCAGATCCAATTTGACA